AATAAACATCTACCAGGAAATCAGATCAGGAAAACAAATTTGCGACAGATGCAATCAATTTTGCCGGAATGATTAGTGAACACAAGTATAGAAACACACAAGTGCACTTTTTCTAGATCTTGCCAAAACCTTCAATTCCTTTTCTCATGAAATATTTTTGAAAAAAAAATTGTATGGTTTCCAAAACAAAGCGCTGCAAATCTCCTGAACATTCTTAAGAGACCTTAAGCAGTGGTTCTTCACAACCAATATTTCTTCAAAACTTCAAACATATATTTGACTCCGAAAATTACAACCATGGCAAACCACAAGGTAATGTTGTCAAACCATTTTTGTTTTCATTCTTCGTATAATTGAATTTGAAAAAATCAACAGGAACCTAAATTTAGTGAAAATTGCCAATATTACGAGCATCTGCTTTTCTCGTAATTCAACAGCTGACCCTATAACTTTATTTTGAAAATATTAGAGCTGTAGACGATTGTTTGACGGAAAAAAAAACGGTCCTCAATAATGATAAAGTAGAAATTATATTTGAGAAAGAGGGTAGTTACAACTAAAGCTATTAGAAAAAAGAAACCATTTCACAAAAAAAGAACGCCGAGAAGACAAAAACTTCTGGCTGATTTAAGCAAATGCTCAAGCGAAATGGCTGTTGCAACAAAGTCAGAATACTTATTATAGCTAATTGTCTTTTACAACTTGCTGTTACTTTTTATTATTACTACTTAAAGTTTTCAAATAGTTGATTTTATCAAATACTCGTTTATCATTTACTTGAATGTTTTTAAAAGTAGCAACTTTCATGTTAACAGACTAAACCGACAAACATAGCAGAAAATTTGAAAATGCACGCAATCTACTTCTCAAATCCAAAGTATTACCAGCCAAACCATTGATGACCCATCAAAGCCTAAAAACATTTTTTTGGCAAAAATATTAGAACAAAAGAAATTGGTAGAGCGCAGTTCCATAACAAGAAAGAAACCCACTAAACGATTTAAAAAAAAGCTCTTACAAACAAAATATGAAAGAATTCTATATCCAGCCATAGTTGTAAAAAATAAGAAGCTTAATCAAAAACTCAGAAACGTTTTGCCTCATCAAAAAACTGAATTTGAATTCTTTGATAGACATAAACAAAAATCCCTATTGATCGATCATTTGGTTGTTTTCAAGATTATTTTCATATTTAAAGTAATAGTTTCATTTTACACAATTTGTTATTGTATATTTACATGCAAGTGTGATTGTTGTTTTTTAAGTTATCATATTAATTTCAAATTGTAGCAAAAGGTATGTTCAGCCAACTGATTATTCTGTTTTTAAATGACGGTTAAAAATCATCAATGGAAATAAATGTAAAACTACTAAAATTATTTTTTTATCTGAATGTCAAATACAACTGATATGAAGTTTTTGTCACAAAGATGCTAATTCCAAAACAATCTTAAACAAAAATTTTTGAGACAGATTTACCTCTAAGCTATTGAAACTAGCCTTAGCTATGATGAGTTGAGAGATTTTGAAAATTTAGATTTGATCTCTAAAAGGTAACAGTTTGACTGTTAGTAATAGACAATAGTTGCACTCAATGACGGTTTGTTACCATGTTAATTTAGTATAAGGCATATTTCGCCGAACGCTGAGCTTGAACTGACAGTAAAGGCTTAACAACCTGGCCAAAATTGCTGTATGAGAGCGTTCCTGCATTTTATCTTAGTTACCATTTGCCAGTGAATCCAATCATAATAGTTTTTATTTTAAGAGATAAAAATGTTTTTAAAGAAATGTTCAAAAGGGAAAATTTTAAAACAAAAAAAATGTCAAAAAACTTTAGGAAAATTAAATTTAGTTTTAAGTAAACCAAACTACAAAAAACCTCCGAGTCGATTACATAATTAATTTATACAATGAAATTAATGATTAGGCTTAAGCTTCGATTTTTCAGCGTTAAACGTTTTTAGTATCAATTGATCACGGTTTGCAAACGTGGTGTATAGGGTTGTTGATAACTGCTTGTTATCTTTTTTATTTGTTGCTGTTAAGCGTACTTAATTGGATAAGTGGTAAAAACCGAAGCTTTTTTTCTCACCTAAAGAATTTTCTAATATGTTTAAGAGATAAAACCCTCGGCGTAGTCGCTTGTGCGCTCAGATCTTGAATACTTTGCTGATAGTTTGCGTATTTTGTGTACACGTAATTAGAAATCTGAGCAGTTCTTATCTTTTTCTACCAGTTTCAACTTTGTCAAATATTCTGCAGTTATTGATAATGCGCAGCAAAAAAAAACTTTTTGTTTTCTTGGCAACTTGAACAGAGTATTTTTGTATGCAGTTATCGACAGAAAGATGTCATTTTAGCATAACAACAAAAGAAACGTTTCGAAGGTTTTTATCAACATTTTTTCTTAAAATTTCTTTTTGGAGTAACAATTTGAAGTAAACTTGTTTGACTTCTTCCTTAATGAAAAATTCAGTTTTTTTTGTCAAAATTTTGACGCTAATTGTCTATCAGTGATTGTGCGATTAATTGTTGTGTTATCCCACAAAATGGTAGTGGGAAATCTGATTTCCGGCTTCTTATCGTGAGTTGAGTTTTTTGTGGGTTCAATGTCGTTTTGTTAGCATTCCTCAATTTTTTTCTTTTTCATCTAGGTTCTCTCACATGAATCTTTTGGGCAGCTCAATTTCGTATAATCTGCTCATAGAATCTTTAATTATTCTTAACTGTGTCTGATAAAATTGTTTATATAAAGCGAAAAATAGGACAAGTCATTTTGTAACGTTTTTTTACGCAGAATGGTGGGCTTGATTGGATCGAGATTGACCAAAAATGCCATGTTATGTATTTTCAACCTGCTGGCAATATTAGTTTGAGTTTACGCAGGAAAACTCAAAAGCTTCCGGATTCTCCTACTTGTAGCATGTAATGTTATAATCTCATTTTGCAAAAAAACTTCAAACGCTTGCATTTAGGAACCTCAAGCGTGGAAGAAAAACGCCTCAGGAACTCATATAGAAGTTCTTAGTATCTGGTGCATGGCTGCATCTGGTGCATAACTGTGCTTAGTATCTGGTGCATGGCTATGCAAAGAAATATTATGTTTAAAATTAGCCGGCTTTTTCAAAACTGCTTCTGACCCAAAGCTGATGAATGCAATCCGTAAGAAAAGGAAACCAACGGTACCCAAACCGGATTAACCCAGTTTAAAACTGGATAATTTATTCTTTTGAAGACTATTATAAAGTCTAAGAAAGAAATAATAAAACACAAAAAAGTCGAAAGACAAACCCATACCACAAACAATTTGATTTTTGGAAAAAGGACATAACCAACAAGACATAAGAAAAACCACAACAAACCCAACATAAAACGTTGTCACATAACAGGACCCCTCACAAAAACCGCATGAAATCATACTCCCATTCCTGGCCTAACCCACCAGGAAGGACGTCCTGAGCATGCTCTATAGCCGGCCTAACCCACCGCGCTACATCCACGCTTTGTGACCACACCTCTATTTTTAATAAGAGCTACTCAAGGGTGAGTAACTCTTCAAAATAACCGAACTAAAACAAAAAGCTTTTGTGAAAACAACTAACTAAAATCATAATTAAAAAATATTAAACTAAAAAAAGTTTTATAAAATGTAAAATCACATGATGCAATACATAGATCAGAATACAACACCAAGGACGAACATCAAAAGACAAAACGACCCCACCACACTCGAGAGAGAATGACCAACTACAATCAATATGCCGCTCACAATCACAACTCAAAGGATTTAGAGTACGACTTGACCTCGCAGAAAAGGACTTCATTGAACTAGACCAATGACCACCTCGATGACCCAAGTGTACGTACAGATCCGAGTAACCAGGCATCCCCTCCACGCACAATCTCCACGCCATTCCCAAGCTAGATCAGACACAAAAGAAGTTCTCCCCGAAGAACAGAAAAACCTGACATAGCCAACCATTCTGAAATCAGAATTGATTTTGTTGCAGAGACTCAGTCGTTGTCACAAGAAGAACACAACGTCTTATGTCCCTAACTCCAGCTTCCTGAAACTTCTTTAACAAAGAAGAAGCGGAAGAAAATTATGATGTTCACCAAATACCAACGTCCATCATCCATCCTTGAATTACAGAAGAACTGTTCTAAAAAACTCTGTAAAACCCGGATGGGTGGAACCTGATCTAAACTACATTTTATGATTGGATAAATTAGATAATTTACCAATGTAAAGTATTTAATATTAACCAATCATGATCCATCTAACTAACAACCCACTTATTTGTAAGTGCTGAAGTTACTTGTAATTTCAGCACCAGAGAGATTTGAATTTAACTTAGAAATTAGTTGGACTCTCCCGAGCACTTCAACAGCCGCAATAGACCAGTATACCCTAGATCTATTGAGCCTAGCAGAGACTAGTTAAACAACCTGAGACTAGATAGTATAAGAGTAAGATTAGGATCGGTATTAGACTAAGAAGTTGCACGAATCTATCCGGCCGAAAATAAGATAGCGTGACGAGCAGACGGTGTACCCTATCCGAAATTACTCTATGAGTTAACCAACTCGGTCCTAACTCAACAGGGCGTAGTTATTTTATGCTTAAATCGAATTTTTTCATGAGGTTCTTTTCCAATTATTGATTTTTATTTTTAATTATTTTCAGAAACATTTTTGGATTTCTTTTGATTGATTTTATACGAATTTCGATCTCTTTGTCTTTAATCACTTCATCGCCTTTTTCTATTTGAATAAAGTTCGCTCATGTAAATTTCGCAATATATTAAGTTCGCAATGTAAGTTCGCTCATTATTATTAATTTGTCTAGAATGTAGGTGAATAAGAGAATCGGACTACGCTTCTGACTAAGCCTACGACTAAGATTAAGAATCGGACTAAGCCTGATAGCTATCATGGATCCTCTGGGGATCGCAGAAAAATCAGTAATTGTACTTATTATTACATTCTAACTCTACCATGTGTATTCCTTTAGCGTTGAGTGCGATGCAGAAGAGAGGCACGAGGAGGTTGTAGTATTCGTCCCACCTGTCCCCGAGGAACTCAGCAAGAATCTCTACATTCGCATCCAGATTCAGAGTCAACTTCAGCTGCAAGTTGTAACGCAGCCTCTCCTACAAAAAAATAACTTTGATGAAATACTTCAAGACGAACGATGGCCACTTTTTCGATTCCTAACCCCCCTTTTAAGCTATTAAATTTACTTGATCCTGTGTCCAAGAAAGGATTCTAATCTGGATTGAATTTTTTAACTGATAATTTAATATAATAATTTGCGTTTTCTGTATAAAAGCGATTTGATTCTCATCCGACATTAGAAATGTACAATTTCTAGAAAAAAAAACTGCTCGTATCAGGGCAAAGCCCTGAACACTCCAATTGCTTTTTAAGGTTTATGGAGCAGTAGTAACATGAAAAAATTAAATGTAATAAAACAAAATGAAAATTTTTTTTCTAAAATTTAAAATTTGTTTATGAAATCATCCCCCCACACGCCATATAAAGTACAAAAGAATGAATTTTACCCCTGTTAACAAATCAATTATGGCATATAAGCTTCTTTCAACCAATTTGGAACGATTTCCAAGACGGATTAAATCTCTCCTCACGCGTTTATGGCGCGAAATATATCGGAAGTTAATTGTTCCAAATTGGCCAAAATGGCAATATTTATCCCCCCATAACTTTACAAAAAGTAATCACAGGTGAAATATCTTTTCAATTTTAGGCTCAAAACAACAATACTTTTTGAATGATATAAAAAAATTCCGTCAAAAATGACTAGTTAAAATTTGTCTGAAAAAAAACCCACCCCGACCACAAACAAACATTCTGCATGATTTGATACAGGGGCGGATCTAGGATTTTCTCGAGGGGGGGGGGGGGGGGGTGGCGGATTTTCAAAAAATTTCCAAAATTTTGACGACCTTTTTTTTTTTTAGGTCGACCAAATTGATTTTTCGAGCTCTCCCAAAGCACTGTTTTGCCTCTATTTTGGCAAAATTTTCTGCGCCGCAGGCAAATTTTTGAAAAACAGTCAAATAGCCGTTTTTGGGCACTTTTTGAAAAATTTTGACAAAAAATTGCGTTTTTTTGGCGCGCGCTCCCCCTCAAAGTTAGTATATATTGGCGCCAAAGGCGCCTTTAGAAAAATTTTAGGGTCGGTCGGCCAAAAATGGATTTCTGAAAAAATATCAAAGGTCCCCTTTAGGTCGGCAGGGGGTCAAATCCTTGAGGAGAGGGCGTCCGCCCCCCGCCCCCCTCCCTGAATCCGCCCCTGATTTGATACATGTATACACAATAGTCGTAGCAATACAATGCAAAATAACACTTGTAAACAGCTGTTACTTTACATTAGATTGCTACAACAATAGCAATTTCTGAGATCAAGTGACATAGCGGTTAGCACGTTAAAACAAACCTCAAACTATCGGAAAACAGTTTTTGCCCAAAATAGCCTAGATCAGCTAATTGGTGATCAGAAGAAGCTCAAAAACATCCTTGCTTTATTAAGGCATTTCGAATGGCCAGATGTTTAGATTACAAGTTAAGCGTTTCTCGCCAGAAATTAAGCTTTTTTGGTTCAGTTTTATTCATAAATTGCTCACAAAGCAGTTTGCAACTTTAAAATTGATCAACTTCATCTGTAACTTATAGCGCAGCTTTTTCAAGAAAAACATAAGGACTCTTCTATCGGTAGGGCGACCATTCGTCGCAAGCGAACACTCGTAGCAGGTGCAAAAATGTTGTAAAGGAAACTTAAAATCGATTCATTGCTTTGCAGCTCCATGAAACGGACCAAGTTAACATCCTCTCCCCAAAGCAGTTTGTAGGTGGCGAGGATAATAACTTGTCCTAAGTTCGAGTTTTCAGCCAATCGAAAACGAGCATTTTACAGATTTAGTTCGGAAAACAAGACTCTACAATGGCTCAAACGTCGTTTTTGGTTGCTGGGCGAAACTAAATCAATTCGTTTTGATTTAGTTTTTGTTCCGACTTTCTAAGAAAGTGCGGAATATTTATACTTGGTTTAGTTTTTTTATTCACTCAATTTCCGACTTTTTAAGCAAGCTTTTTTGACAGAATTTTTGTTTGACCTGAAAATTATTGTTGTTGCGCTGCTTAAATATAGAAAAAATTTCACCTGTAATACTTTTGTGTGGACATATGGGTGTTTGAAAATTACCAATTTGGCCAGCTTGAGATAACTAACGCGCAATATCTTTCTTTTTATAAGATAAACGTGGATTAAATTGGTCCAAATTGAGTTGAAGGAAATAAATTGGACGTATTTTTGGGTTACGAGACGCTAAACACATCCCTTTCTACTTTTTATAGCGCTCGGGCACAGAAACAAAGAAACAATTTAAAATATAGAATTGTGCTTTTTTCAATTTTTCGATCAAAATTTTTCAAACATTTTTTTATACTAAAATAGTTTATCAATCATTTTTTAAGCTAAAATGTCCAGTGACGAGTGGTCGTTTTTGGTAATGCTACCAATAGTCGCCCGTGACTAATCGTGGTTTGCGACAAATTATCTTTTCACGTTTTCTACCGTCCGTCCTCCCAACAGATACAAAATTCAATTTTATGGAGTAACTCTTGATTTTACGAACGTGTATAAGAAAACAAAATGTGTTTGAATTATGCATGAACTCACATACCATCTTTCATGCCAATTGCGAAACATAAATACTTTAAATTTGAAAAAATGCATGTGGTGGGGGTTAGTTTAGTGGTAGCAGAGCCAAAATAAGTCGCTCAAAATCCTTTTATTTTGAAAGTAAAAACAAAAGATGTTGAGATTAACCTCCAAAATGCTGACAATTTTGTCTCCAGTGAAGTTATTGACTTCCATCAATCTAAAAAGAGAATCTATCAAAGTGAACAGAATAAAATATTATAGGATAAAATTTTAAGATCGCAGGAAACTTCGATAAATTCCAGCATTTTTTGCCCTGGAGTTTAAATATTTTTAAATATTTTTTAAAAGGATCACTTACTCTTTGATGTATTCGTTTGCTCGCAAAATGTTTTTCGCATCTCTGGGATTTTGAAAGGCCTCATCGATTAAATTTTCGAACCTGGAATCATTCAAGACTAAATAATTGGAAATAAATCTTTTTTTGTGTGAATTAAATTGTTTAAAAAACTACAGTTCCGAGGTGAAGTTAATTATCAGTGAAGTTTGGCCGCATTGAAGGTAAATTCAGTGAAAGAAAAGAATTCAGTGTTTTATAATAACTGATGAAAAAATTCGTTTTTGGCGAATCTTAATTTGAACATCTTCATAGGTGTCTCGTTATGATAATGAACTGATAGAGACTATTTTATTCTATTTCCGCGCAATTTAAGGAGCCCCCCCAAAAAAAAATGCTGCTTGGTTGAAGGGCATGGGTTAATTGATTGTTGCTGGGTAGTAAGAAGGGCTATAATTGGAAAGAGCCAACTTTGGAACCTTGATACAGTATTTGGATTGAGCACTTCTGGAATCATGACCAGAGCATCTCTTCTGGAATGCACTCCATATATTCTTGGGTCACCACCTAGTGCCATCAAATTGACCTTTGACTTTGACTTTTGAGTGCTGCTCGATGTCTTCCGATGGATTGACCCTGAGTACTGTCTTATTCTATCGTCAAGGACACTCATAATTATTAACTATTACTAACTAACTACTGTTTTATATTGAATAACTAATAACTTAATGATGCTCATAAGACAGCAAATGTTTGACTCTAATTGTTGTCTAGAAATAATAGAATAATGAGTGAAGTTACATAGAATTAGTGGCAAAATGAACATTGACTTCAAAATCAAATGAGCATAACTTCAGAATCTTGTTTACCAACATCTCGAGATTATTGAAACAGGTTTAACACGACTACTAGTTTAACTTGTACTTTTTATACTTTATCGCCAATTTATATATATACATATACTTATATATTAAGTGATTTTTTTCTTTTTCTCGGAAGATTTGTTTTTCATTTCGCCTATTTTACTATGACTTTCGAACATCTCTAATTTATAGTTTTTCATGCAATATCTTTCTTTCGCACCACGCAGTCGTAGCAGACACGCAGTCGTAGCAGTCGTAAGTGATTTTTTTCTTCTTCCGAGAAAAAGAAAAAAATCACTTAATATATAAGCTGTCTTTGATCAAACACTTTCGAGAGATCGGCGGATAAGATAATGTAACAAAAATCAAATTTTTCAAATTTTATTTTCAAAAATCAAACTCTTTAGTTTTATTAAAAAGATCTGCCTGGTTGTTTGCAAATCATATGTTCGAAAGAATATACAATGATAGCCGAAAACTGTGCAAGTCGCCAAGAACGTTCCGACCATGGTCTTGAGAAAAAACAAAAGAAATTTTAGACAAATTAGTGTCGTTTTCTACTGCGTGGTGCGAAAGAAAGATATTGCATGAAAACTATAAATTAGAGATGTTCGAAATTCATAGTAAAATAGGCGATGTGAAAAACAAATCTTCCGAGAAAAAGAAAAAAATCCTTAAGAAAATCAAATGCATCATCCTTTTTGCAGAAAATTTTTGATTTTTGAAGTGTTTTATTTCCAAAGTGGCGCATAAAATTTCAAAAAACTAACTTACTCGAGTAAAACTAAGTTTTCACGGCTTAACTTAAGCATAAATAAGCTATTGTAAGCGTGCTTGCTCACCTATTTTGCACGAAACTAGGCCAAAAATCAAAACATCTCAAAATTTTCAGCTGTCATTTGAATCACAACTGAAAGTGTTTTATTATGATATATCACTTCAACCCAATCGATGATTAATTCTGGTACCTGAATTTGCTTGGAAAACCAAAAAAGAGGGAAAAAATGAAAACACACCTGAATCCAAAGTTTTCCCTGTTCTTAATGGTCAAAATGCCTAATATTCCCCGCCCCCCGCCCTTGATCCGCCCGCTGGTGCTGATGTGGTTAGGTGTTTTTTCTCAGTAAACATGAATAAACAGTTTTACCATTCGATGCCAATTTTCCAACATTCCTGAGTCCGAACTCATTAAGTTTTTTTGCTATGAAATGAAATTTATTGACGAACTACACGAAATGATTCAACAGCAGTCTAATATAATGGTGTACATAGGTGAAGCTGTAAATGAGACTCGATTTGTCTACCCGAATCGGGAGTAATTAAGCTCCTGAACCTCGAACAATGAAGCAAAGATTGTGTGGATCGCTTCGCAGATTCTCTTTAGAGGAAGCAACCCCATAAGCTTCACCGCTGCATGCAGGTGATCTTTCATGAAAAAGAGTAACTCATGCTCCCACGGGCTTTCTGACTTGATGACTACCACTAAGGTCAGCGTTTTGTTCAATTCCGACCCTGCTAACACCTATATGAGATGTTCCGACCAAAATAACCTGTTAGTTGAATCCATGAAGTCAGAGCTCGCAATGATAACCATTTTTACGGCTCCGGGGTCCTGTCGGTCACAGACTGCTAAAGCCTTCAGATAACGGAGGCCCCGAGTTTTTTCCCGATTTTGAACGTCCTGCGCAGCTAACGATCTGCGTAAGCTGAGTTTTGAATGCCATTATTCGTGGGTCCAGAAACTTGTTTGGTCATTCTCTGGGTGGAATTGGCTATTCAGACCTTCACCAAGCTGGTCCTGTGTTTTGGGAGGCTCTAATACCGTCCGTTAGTCTCCAGCTCCCATTGGTATTCTCGCGTTTACCGGACCAAAGATCCTTCCCTTTGGCAATCCTGGCAACTCGGCTATCTCTAGAGTGGTAGCTCGAAAAAAATGAGCTTCAAGAGCCTTCCGCCACTCCACGCAATAGGAATCACTCAAGCTCTCATGTGTCAAGCTCTTCACTTCTGGTGGTTACGCCGGCTCTTGTCAATCGACGGTTCCTATAGGTCAAATTACTTCAGTCGCTCAAGGTATCAAGATTTCGCTCAAGGTATCAAGGGCGGTTTGCGGTCTTCATCTCTCACTTCTGCTCATTTACCAAAGGTGGTTGATTAACAAAACATTGGAGTGTGCATGCTATTCTCCTCTCACTCTTGTGCGAGGTTGAGTTAAGATTCCTACTCCGCCCTCCCCAGCGCTATTTTTGGAAAAACATCTCAAAAGGTCGAATCAAAAGGCCTTGATACACAGAAGATTGCATTCGGAGGCGGACCAAAATTGAGGCGTCCGGTCTGGACTAATTCATTCAGGTGGGTCGATGCGATGCTGAAATATTTTATTTAACCATTCTTTGCATATTGGTTTATCAAAATGTATTACATACTTCGAGCTTCCCTCAGGTAGTGATTGCTCCAGTTTGCCAGTCACATCTAGCATCTCACGTTATCGCCATCCTTCATAATGTGTGGCACAGAGCAAATCGTGAGCACGGCGGGGTTGAAGTATCTTTCGAAGTACCGGCCTCTAGGTACACCGTTTGTCGCCGCCATTAGCGTCACAGTATTTTTTTAATGACCAAAATCTCTAGCGAGGTCAAAGTTTGAGGCATCGCCGCTCCAAAGAAATTCAAGACTCTGATTTGCCAATGAGCTGTCAATCCTGTTAACACCCTATTGAGGCTATCACCAGATATTGGATGAACGTTTTCGTCGGGTGCGAGAGGCTTCTCCAGATAATCAGTTCAGTAAAGGTCTCAAAAGCCAATCTCCTGCTCTTCTGTGAGGCACTCCAACCTTTTCAGCTCTGCCTCTCTCTCGTAGCTGCCAGTCTTGTCCTTTTTGTAGTTTACAATGACTGCCTCGCGTACCTACCATGGTCTTGAGAAAAAACAAAAGAAATTTTAGACAAATTAGTGTCGTTTTCTATTGCGTGGTGCGAAAGAAAGATATTGCATGAAAACTATAATTTAGAGATGTTCGAAAGTCATAGTAAAATAGGCGAAATGAAAAACAAATCCTCCGAGAAAAAGAAAACAATCCTTAAGAAAATCAAATGCATCATCTTTTTTTGCAGAAAATTTTTGATTTTTGAAGGGTTTTATTTCCAAAATGGCGCATAAAATTTCAAAAAACTAACTTACTCGAGTAAAACTAAGTTTTCACGGCTTAACTTAAGCATAAATAAGCTATTGTAAGCGTGCTTGCTCACCTATTTTGCACGAAACTAGGCCAAAAATCAAAACATCTCAAAACTTTCAGCTGTCATTTGAATCACAACTGAAAGTGTTTTATTATGATATATCACTTCAACCCAATCGATGATTAATTCTGGTACCTGAATTTGCTTGGAAAACCAAAAAAGAGGGAAAAAATGAAAACACACCTGAATCCAAAGTTTTTCCCTGTTCTTAATGGTCGGAACAAAAAGCCAATGAAACCGTCGAAAACACAAAACGGGGGACAAGATAATAAAAACGAGACATGATAGAGCAAAATAAAGCAAATATTTTTTCACAAATCATTTGAAAAGAACTGCTGAGACTGAATTGAATTATGCGTGCCACCTTATTGCTTTCTAAGCATCAAAACTTCTTCGGTGAAGTTCCCCGCTGTCCGTTTTGCACTCATTCTATTTCCTTTTATAGTGCCTCAGTCTCTGGATATTCCACTTCAGTCTGTTGTGCTCGGATCATGAATGACAGTCTACTTGATGATTTGGCTCGAGTCATGACCTCCGGTTTGTTTAGATGACGGAATTACCCTGCCCCATGTTCCTGCCCTCGTGTTCATTCACTAAAGTGCAAAACAGGTTTCTCAAGAGTTCGTACTGGCGCTTCAAAGCCGCTCGAACTGGTTGCCAAAAACGGTCTAACATATCTCAAGAAGACTGAAACTAAAAAAAAACTCAAGAAAACCAACCTCAAGAAAACCAAACTAAGGAATAATAAATTCGAGAAGCGTGTTAAGTCCGGATAGTTATCGATTTATTCTACAGTATCCCGTCGTGTTTTTTCTACACTGATTATAATGTTGTTTTAAGTTTCAACACATGCCCTCAATTCCGTTGAAAAACGCAGTGCTTTTTTTGATAAAAGGAAGTAAATATTGTTCCAACCGCTTCTTAACAGTAAAAAGCTCCCCTCAGAAGTCTCTGCAAGTGGCTTATTTACTCTAAAAACCCTGCAAAAATTATTTTATAGCGCCTAGTTCATTGACTGTCAACCAAGCAATTAATATTAGTAAATAATTATGTATATATTTATATATATATAACCCAATTTGTATCGAACATGCTAAGAGTATAACCCCCTTCTTTTAGCTTTGAATGAGAGCAAATCAAGATCTATAATGAATCTTCAAGAATTAGGCTTAAGTTGTGTTCTTTAGAGCCCCTTTCTGTCCCAGAATACGTTGTTTATCAAGCTTAGTCGCCCTTGTCTTACTCGGGCGATGTTGAAGTATTATTTTTTGTGGAGGTGTACCGTTATCTCAATCTCCGCGCAGAATGGCATGGAGTTCTCCTGGATGCATTCTTTCTCTGTTTGGGTCCTCTACTGATATCGAGACTTCGTTCACTCTTTTTTAATCAAAAGTTTACCCTCCGGGTCAGCGCTAGCACGACGTATTCTGGAGCTACCATATTTTCCCGCTCACTCTTGCTGGTATAAAAAACCTAGTTTTTTTGTCAGAAAACTGCGACAGCATGAGTGGGAATGCAGCTAATCCAAACAGTCCTCGTCTCTGTCCAAATATGAATTCCTTTATGCGATATTGTCGTTTGAAATCTTTTTTCGTCTTCAATGTCTGCGATTGCGCAGATCGCGCTTGTTCTATGAGACAAGTTGAAGTCACAATCAGTGAGCACAAGGTTTTCTGAGCATTTTTTGCGTA